GGGACAATATATGTCACGTTTTGAAAATTGAGGGACAACATTTACACTACTGATAATTCAGGGGTGACATTGATAATTGACATATTTGTAAGGGATAAATTACAATTTCCCCATTATTTTTTCTTTTTTAGTCAATGAGTCAATTAGAAATCAGATGCAGTGATATTTTTACATAATTTTCATTCCATTTTTAATTGATGATGTAGAATATTATTACTGAAATATTTTTGTTCTATTTTTAATTTTCGTTCTATTTTTAATTTACCTTTACTATTGTTTAAAATATGCCTTTACTATTGATGATGTAGAATATTCTTATTGAAATATTTTGTTTTCATTTTAAATTTATCTTTACTTGATGATGTAGAATATTATTATTGAAATATTTTCGTTCTATTTTTAATTTCTGTTCCATTGTTTAAATTTGTGAAATATTTATGATATAATTGTGATTTGATTTATTCTACTGTGTAATATTATAGTGAAAAATTAAAAAGTAATGATCTGACCATTTCCTTTTCCATTTTAGTCAATTATGGATCTCTTTTTTTTTCCAGCCGATTATTAATATATATTTTATCAATTAACCTAATTTCCGTTCTTTTTTCAATTTTTAATTTTCAGTCAATTATTAATATTCATTTCCTTTTTCAATTTACCTAATTTTCGTTCCATTTTTATTTGATAATGTAGAATATTATTGTGAAATATTTCTGTTCCTTTTTAATTTTTGTTTTTTTTTTAATTTACCTTTACTATTTAATATTGTTTGGGCTGGAAATCAGGTAAATATGATATTGTTTTTAATTATAGTATAGATTATAAATTAAGAGGGCTGGTCACCATTATTATTTTTATTATATTACGAATTAAAATTAGGATTTTTATTATACTTGAAAAATAATATTACCAATTATATTATAGAATATAATACCATACATAATATTACCAATTAATAGATTTTAGTTAATTTTCATTTTACATTTTCTTACCAAATAAGCCTTATTAATTATTTGACCAATAAAATATTTAAATAATTGACTACAAAAGTTTGGACAGGAAAAATTAAATATGAGAATTTTGATTATATATATATATATATATATATATATATATATATATATATATATATATATATATATATATATTAACTAAGTTATAATAATATAATAATTAAAGAATTAATTCCATGTACGGTCAAATTTAATGTACAAAAATATTAAGTATTTATTAAAATAATTGCCTAATATACTTATTTTATACTTAAGGTATAATATTATTAGTACAAAATAAATTATAGTTCTCTTTTTCCATGGAAATATTAAGTATTTACTAAAATAACTACCTATATATATATATATATATATATATATATATATAGTGAAAGGTTCCCGTGCGGTGAATGCTTCCCGTGCGGATGTGCGGTGGATTAATGTGCGTGAGATTTGTACTCAATGTACGTGAGTGTTGTGCCTAATGTGCCTGAGATTTGTACTTAATGTGCGTGAATGTGTAAAATGCAGCAGAAAATATTGATGTCAGCTTCTTCCCCATCCCCAGTAGAAATTTGCCCCCTCCCTGATGATGATGATGCGGAGGCGAGCTATGGTGGTTAAAAATTATGGGAATAATACAACAGAAATCCACACTTAGCTGTTGTGCAAATTTTACTGTGCGTGCGTCATTTATATAAACATTCAACTGCACTGAAGGTAGCTGGTAATCCAGAATCCATGGCCAAATTGAAGGAAGAAGTAACAAGAAGCTTCGGCGTTAATGTGCGTGAGTTTCTGTTATGCTTCCTTCTGAGATCGTAATTCTGAAATACGCACGCACATTAAGCACAAATCTCACGCACATTAAACACAATATTCAGGCACATTAAGTACAAAACTCACGCATATTAACATGACGCACATTAAGTACAAATCTCAGGCACATTGAGTACAAATCTCACGCACATTAAGTATAAACCTCACGCACATTAATCCACCGCACATCCGCACGGGAAGCAACAAATGCACCTGATCCCCCCCCCCCCCACTTCTAATTCTATATTTGATAAGCATAAAATTTGTGTATATATAGTTTAGGAAAATATTCATTATTGAAAAGCGAATATAATTTAAAAAGTCAATTATTAATTAGATTGCCTAATATAATTGCCCCACTAATTGATTCCATGCTACTAAAAATCATATATTTAAATATTTTTTTAAGTTAAATACATATTAACTGCCTTAATAAATAAATTAATTATTAGTCACATCTATAGTACTAAAAGTATTACTTTTAGTTTTTATAAATAAGACATAATATTATTCAATCAAAATAACAAAAAATAATTTGTTCACAGTACAAAAGATTTTATAATTGACTTAATAATTAACTATTAATTTTTACTGCCTAATACAAATTGTCAATTATTAAATATTATTTGTGGTAATTATTGTATGTCATGTAATACTAAATTTGTTAGGTAGAATTTTTATAATTAAGATATAATATTATTAAGTCAAAATTATTAAAAATATATAGATCCACATTAAGAAAAATCTTATTAATTTTGGATATTAAAACTATATATTAGGATTAAAATTGAAGTTATAAATAATTAAGTTTTAATAAATTTATTTATTTCCTAAGTTATATATGGTTAATAATGAATATTTTTCTATATTAGATTACGCTTATATATGGTTTACCCGTATTAACCATTACTATATTAGATTAATATATAATTCATTTAATATAATATGTTATTAAATCTAAACATATGATTAATATTTATTCAATATTATTATGAAAGTATTAGGATTATAAATTTTATTATATTTTAAATGACTTAGCATATCAAAGCAAACATGGTAAGTCAATATCATTATTTCACATTAGAAAAGTGATTTGAATCAAGGGAAGTCAGCTAAAGAATAAAATCAAAATAATACTCTATTCAAACTAAGCTACAGTACTTCATAATTTTTTTATCCCCAAAAAAAGTTTAAATGGCAAGAAAAATGTCTTGAAGGGAAAGACAAAGTGCTCTCTTATTACAAAAAATGCACACTTTAAACACGAAGAGATTGAATTGAAACAAAACTCAACACTTAGATATATTGACAACTAAAAAATGCTTTGAATTTCATTTTGGTTTTACTGTATTCTTATCAGGCTTCCCTCTATATCTCTTTACATATACACAGAATCCGTCCCCCCTCCTCAAACTTTATCCACTTGATGAGCAACGAACTCTATTGCTTCCCGATCAATCTTTCTAGATCTATATCTTCTCCACTTGATGAGCAACGAACTCTGTCTTAATTATGGTATTTCATAATTATGGTATTGCATAGGATTCACATATGCAATACCATAAATATGCAATATTATTACTAATTAATATATTAATATATATTAATTAATTTTCATTAAATATTTGGTTACAAATAAGGTTTATTAATTATTTGACCAATAATTAAAACTAAAATATTTAAGTAATTGAGTAAAAAAGTTTGGGCGGGAAAATGATGTAGGAGGATTTTACTTCTCTATATATATTAAAGCAAAATAATAGGAGCAAAAAACTCTCGCCCAACAACAACGGCGTCGTTTTGACAAAGCCGAAATATTTATTGTATTTGCTTCAGAAAACGAAAGGTTTATGCAGTATAATACCTAAAGTTTATAGAAAACCTACATTTTTAAAAATATCTACGTTAGATCACTCTCCAATCCAATGGGATTAGCGAATGTATTTAATTCCATCAATTCCCCATATGTAACATTGAGCCCACGAACCCATACATATTCTCTAGGTATTAATTTCAAAGGAAAAAGAACGAAAGGTCATCAGACCTTATATATACAGCACATATACAGCACAAAGTTATTGCACAGAAAAAAGCTACACCGGCCTCTCTCATTCTTCTTCCCTACAACAAGATGTTTATCCTTGCTAGCCAAATATCTCCAATGAACACCAGGCAGGCTCTTAGGCTACGGGTGGTGAGAGCATATCAGATTCCTGAGAGAAGTGATCCATCGAAGATTAGATCAAAAGAAATCGTTTTTCATGATGAAGAGGTAAGTGTTATTTACAAATATATATTCAAATACATCAAGATTATGCGGTGCAGTTTAGGCTTTAGTCCACAGGTTTTAGTTTTTACAGTTCCTATTTTTGTTATCTATACATATTTATGAGATATATTTAGACAGTTCCTATTTATGTTATTTACACATACACAGGGTTCCTTCCTGCATGCTCATGTACCCAAAGAATATGTGGAAAAGTACCTAAGCTGTTTTACTGAAGGTTCAGTTTACGCTATAAAGAATTTTTGTGTGATCACCAATTTTTACTCATACAAGACCAGCCCACAGAAGTACATGATAAAATTTAACTATCAGACTATGGTAAAGGATTTAAAGAATGCGAAATTTCCTATGAAAATGTATCATCTGAAGTCGTTTAGAGAAATCAAGTCTAATGAAGGCCTTGATGAGAAACACTTCTTTGGTAATCAATTGCTCTCTTTCAATCTAATTTTCTAATTAATTGATATTGTTACTGCTATTTTATACTCTAATGCACTATTTTGTAGATGTGCTTGGTCGAGTTATTGAAATTCACTGCCCACAGGAGAAATTAATTAATGGGAAGAACTCCAGGCTGATTGACTTCACCATTGAACACTGAGTATTTTTTTTATTCGGTTCCTTCTATTTCTATTCTATTTTTAGGTTTTCTGTTCTTCTAATCTCTTATCTAACATTTTGTAGTGGAATACAATTGATGTGTACTTTGTGGGATGAACACGTAAGCAAGATCGAGGCATTCTACAATTCTACTTCACAAGAGCCATTATTGGTGTTGATCCAATTTTGTAGGGCTAGGGTGTGTTTAAAAAGTAAGTAGATTAAAAATGTTAGTTTGTGCCTAACTTATATTACCAATTCCATATTTACCAATAATGGTTTGTTTAATGTGTACTACCATAATGTCTAAAGGTGAGGATGTTAAGATTTGTAGCTCCTATGATGTAACACAACTGCTGTTCAATCAGGAATCTCCACCATTTGAGGAGTTCAGAAAAAGGTTAGTCAATGCTTATTCTTGCACTACCTATTCAATTGTTCCCTAATTCTTACTGTATTTTTAATTTCACAGTATCAGCCATGAACAGACTCCAATGCGCAGTATTATTTCGCAGTCAAGTTTTAAGGAATGTAGCTCCTATTCAGTTTCCCTATCTGGTGATATGGAAATCCGTACTATCAGTGAAATCTGCAGAGACAAGGAGGTAATATATAGTTAAAACCTATTAGTTATTACCTTAGTAGATATACTGTGATCTCTACAACAATAATCTTGTGAGATATCAATGCCAACTGCTTGATTTGTAATCTGCATTTAATAATATGCATGAGATTTAAAACAAATATAATATTTTACACATTTAAAGTTAATAGACTAATACTGTGAAGTCTACCATTGGATGCTTACCTGATTGAGTAGATAAATAGTCTTTAAATATATAGACTAATACTGTGCAGGCCATGCTCTGTAGGCATCTCAAATTTGTACAATGAGATTCAATATAGAACTTAGCAGGCCTATATAACTCATTAAAAGTTAATACAGTAACAAATTAGAGAGACTGTTAGTGGGTGCTTATCTCATTGAGTAAATAACATTGTAGTTACTAGCTGTGAAATTGGTGTGAGTATGATTATGCAACCCATAATCTGTTTATGACCCAAACCTGCACAAACAACTCAGTCTTTGATAGTTATATAAACATAGGATAGAATGTGCCACCTATTACAATCCAAGAGAATAATAATTTGAATGATTACCATTGGATCATTACCTATTTGATTAAATATATATGTACTCACTCTATATAGTTGACCATTGTTATATGTTTGTGCCACCCATGCTCTGTATTCATCTCAAATATGCATAGTGAGTGCCAACTTCACCACTCTTTTAATCTGCATTTAATATTTGGCTTTAGATATAAATATAATAGCACAGAACATAGGAGTCTCTATATAAATCATTCAAAGTTATTAGTCTAACAAATTAGAGAGTCTATTAGGGTGTGCTTATCTCAGTGAGTAAATAGCATGAACACATCCTAGGGACAGTTTTGTGGTTATTATTATGCAACCCATACTCTGTGTTTGACCCAAACCTGCACACACAACTTAATCTTTGTTAGTTATATAATCATAGTATGTGTTCTTTTCTGTTAGCAAAAATAGATCAACTGATACATAGTATGCATCTCAAACCTTCACAATGAACATAATATTTTGTAAATTTATACTCACATAGGTTTGGATTGGGGCTCATAATGTACCTTGCTAATTGTCTATGTGTGTGTGCAATTTGGAGATTTTTGGGTGGCAGCAAGGATTGTGTTTATTGATGACCCTGAGTGGTTCTATGCTTCGTGTAGAACAAAGGGTTGCAACAAAAAGCTGAAACTGAAAGGAAAGTGGCTGTGGTGTAGTACATGTGACAGGAATTGGGGCGATGGAACCTTGAGGTACAGGGTTAAAGTTAGGGTGGTGGACTTGGATGGGAATGCTCCTTTCCTTCTATGGGACAGGGAGTGCCTTGATCTACTTGGTGTTAGCGCAGATGATTTGAAGAATACCCATACTAAGGTACTAAATGGCATTTAATTCTTAACTATTATATTAACTTAGGAATAGTACCTAAGGTAATAAAGTATATATAATTGTTAACTAATATACCAATTGTATAAATTTCCTATGTACACAAAGTTTAAAAAATAAATGAATTACGTGCAGGGCCGAAAGGGGCTACCTAAGGAGCTTGAGACTCTGATTGGATTGAATATGCTATTTCGAATTGCTGTTCGCAAAGAACAGTTCCAAAACTATCTTAATGCTTTCCCTATTATGAGGATCATCACTGATGAAAAAGATTGTAGAAAAGCATGTACTAGAGCTAATTCAAGTTAGGGACAGGGATCTCAGTTCAAAGTTGGAGTTGGAGCTTACAGATGAGGATCTATGGGATCTAGAGGTATAATTGGGGCTACCGAGTATCATATTATACCAATTACTTTATAAATGCAGATTATTTTGTACTTATAGTTTCAACTCTTGATTTTGTAGGAAGATGACCAAGCAAATGAAGCTGAAAGTCCTCTACAAGTTGTTGCACAGAGGCTGAATGCAGAGAACAACATTGAGAATGGAACAGTCAAGAGATCCCCGATTGATGAATTTTCCAGCACACAAAGTTCTAAAAAAAGCAAGGAAGCTGTGGTCAAAATTGAGAAATAAGCAGATGTGTAATGAGTTAAATGACTGGGATGTGCTCTATTGGACTTTTTTTTTTATTTTATTTTTATGAATGCTTTTATGAGGACAAACTTGCGGTGTTCCTAAAACAGTTTGACATAACATTTTGGATACTCATGGTGGATTTAATTAGTTTTAGTTGGTTTTTAAATCATATTATTAGTAAGGAAAATGTGATATCCCTTCTGCAAAATGGATTTTGTTTTTTATTTTTTATTTTTTAAGTACTAAAGAAGACAGTGATTTCACATAAAGGCGAAGAAGATGAACATCACATGATGGAAAAAGACAATGCAGATAGTATATTTTAGCATACAGATATAGTTTCAATTGTAATTTGTTAATGTAAAACATTAGTTGGAAGATTAATGTAAGTTTTTTTTTTTTTTTTTTTTTTTAGCATACAGATTAATTTTTTAGTATACAGTGTTAAGTTAAGTTAAGTTATACAGTACCTCAAGATTAATATAAGCTAAATCTTAGTGATTACATATAATTTTACATGTTCTATTCCTAAAAATGTAAACATTGTAAATATTTTTGATATTTTTTTAATCTAATCCTGAAAGCACTTATCCATCACTTCTATTAAGATTACATCCTATCAATAACTCTACACTGATTACTAAACTATAGATGCAAAGATTACAAAACTTAATTATTTAGTAAAAGAGATATCTCTTCCTGTCTATTGGTTACTGTCAATCACTTCTCCAGTTTGGTAATTACTAAAAGCAAAGCATGTTGGCATCCAATTTTGAGCACCCTAAATAATGTAAACAGGATATTAACATTGTACTTAATACAAGGTAGCAAAAGTATTATGAAACTAACTTATACATTATAAGTGCTTGCAGAATAGAAATTGTTGTTATACATCAAGTTTCAAATGTAAATAATCAGGTATCTTCAGAGTTTACAATGTATTAGGATTCAAACAGAACGACTTAACATATTTGTTACTACTAAAAACTGTTTTAAGTTTGATCAAGTAAGACACACTTCATTCTACTTTAGAATGGAGTCAAAAACACAATTGTGAGTAAAACTGTAATATAACTTAATGATAGAGGTATTTCAATAAGTGTAACATAACAAAAAAAAAATAAAATCAAATCACATGTTGAGCTGCTTAATATTTTCAGTAAACTTGAACTTCTAAATATGAGAAGACTAATACTCTATTAAGTAAAAAGACAATGCGAATTCAGGTGAGTTCAGCAAGCATAGTATAATGCAGATCAAAATATACATCAGAAATATTATATATAGTACATGAGTAGCGAACACACGTGTAATGAAGTATAGTGATGGCTAATTATGGAATTAAAACTTATCTTTGATAATGCAAGTACAACTGAAATTCACAACGTGCATAATTAGATGTCATTAGGACCACAGACATGTTGACAACAATTTGCAATATAAGCTCTCTTCAAAATCCTTTGAACCATCATAGATTCTGTAGCAGCTTGCCTGCAGTTTAGTCAACAATTATTAAATTAAGATACGATTGGCAGGCAAATGATGCTTATAATAATCAAGGGATTAGAAAGTACATGATCAGGGACTTAGTGCTGATTAGGCACTTACCATGTGTTTACACCAACTTTGTATGGGTGAAGCCTCCTCAAATGCCTTAAGAACTATACAGATTGTCATACAGATTCCACAAGATAATTATCTGGATCAAGGGAGTATAAAAACAATATATTTTAGAAACAATGAAATAGCAAGAAATCAATATAACAATATTAGGTTTGATGACCGTGGGACTAACAATGTATATCAAAGTATATTCAACACTATTGTGCGACTTAAAACTTATCTTTGAGTCTTGCTAAGCAACTGTAAGTACCAAACTGGATAACATTGGTACTTACTTAGTTAAAACATGTCACAACATGTTCACAACCACAGCTCTTTTCATATTCAGGCTACCTGTAAAACAACATAGTAGCTTAATCAGGAACCTTATTATATTTCAGACTAATTTGATTAATCAATGTAATTATGAGAAGGAAATAGTAATAATATGCAACTAGCACGTATATTGATATCACTATGCATTAAGTAGCACAACTAAAACTTTTAGTATTCCAACTTGAATTATATTCACCATTTTCCAATGTTGTCTCCCAATCTTGGATGGGAATGCTCTACTACTATATAATCAACATAGAGATATTCTTATTCTCTCTGAAGCACCACCTAAACAAAATTGGAATTTAGCCAATTCATCTCCCGACGAACACATGAAGAAAATTACATCTTCAACCACAATTGGAGCAAAGCGGAAGCAGAACAGCAACAACCAAGGTAATACTATATACTGTTAAAGTAATTATACTATTTTGTGTTAGAGTATATCCCTAAAGACTATCTCAAAGCATATAAACTATGTGTATGTGTTCTTGGCCCAAAAAATTAATGGCACAAATTAAATTCCAGTATATAGATGTTGTGATAAACAAATTTCAGTATACAGTAAGATGATTTCTAAAAATTAGTTCTATAAGCTGCCATTTTAGATAGATATATATACACCATACTTAGATATGAAAACGTAGAAGAGATAGGGTTAGAAATCCTTACCCAACTTGGTATAAATCCTAGAAATCGTGTAGGAGAACACCCATTTCTGCCTTGGTCCACCGTTGAGCATCACACACAGTTATTACCACCAAGCTTCGATCTCTGTCTACCCATGACTTCCGACGAAGTATAGTGTTCATCTTTAGAGGACGATAGACCCGTTGATAACTCCGAATCGGGGTTTTGACTATGGAGTTAACACTCAGATTGAGAGTATTGTGGAGACGTATGCGTCAGTTGATGCTTCACAGAAACATCATCTTCATCGCGAATCCATAGTATAGAGGGGTCGAGACTGACAAATCGAACCCTAACCAGAGTAATCAACTCCATTTGTAGTCAGAGAACCCACAGTGGGATGAGTGAATTGAGCTCAGAATCGAGCCTTCTAAGTGTGTAGGAAAGGGAAGGGCAGCTGTGAACATCACCGTCTCAGGCCAGCTGTGAACATCACCGCAATTCTAATTATTATTATTATTATTATTATTATTATTATTATTATTATTATTATTATTATTATTATTATTATTATTATTATTATTATTATTATTATTATTATTATTATTATTATTATTATTATTATTATTATTATTATTATTATTATTATTACTATTATTACTATTATTATTATTATTACTATGATTATTATTATTATTATTATTATTATTATTATTATTATTATTATTATTATTATTATTATTATTACTATTATTATTATTATTATTATTATTATTATTATTATTATTATTATTATTATTATTATTATTATTATTGATATTAAACTACATGTATTATTATTTAGGGAGTGATATTATGTTGTCATAAAATTGTTTAATTGTGCATCGCATAAATATTATTATTATTTAGTCATAATAACATCACCGCATCGCAGTGCGCATAAATATTATTATTATTATTATTATTATTATTATTATTATTATTATTATTATTATTATTCATTTTATAGTTTAATTGTTTATTGTTTATGTATTACAACTTCATGTACTCAATTGTTTATTATAATTGTTGGTAATTAATATTAATTTTAATTATTATTATATCTTTATTATTTTTTTTTAATCTTATAGTAATATTACTATTGTTATTATTTGATAATAATAATAATCATTATTATTTCTATCATTACACTTTTAAATGTTATTATTAATATTTAGGCAATTATGAAAGTAATATTATTAATGTTCTACTAAAAAATGAGATTAAGCTATGACTAAATTTTAAAGTATTAGTAATACTTTAACATTATATTTGTGATTATACAAAATAATAAACGTCATTATTGACATCCTATTATTGAATAATAAAGTAGATCTCGGTATGAGTAACAAAAATGGGTACACCAAATAATACATGTGTAGTGATAACTTTTTTTTTTTTTTTTTTTTTTTTTTTTTTTTTGTACAGAGAATGAAGATATCACTGTCAATGGTGAAGCGTACATGCCGTCCTTTGAATCTACCAAGAATACAAAAATGGGTACACCGCTAATTGGTGTTTTCCAAAGTTCGCTAAGTACGCCTTTAAGTATTCTTACAAATGGTAAGTGTTTTCATTTGGAACAATTCACTCCCTTAATGAAATTGTTGTTAATATTAGTTGTCACTGCACTTGACAGGTGACACTGCGGTTCGAACGACAATACAGACTACCCCAATGCAAGATTTTAGTAGCAGAATGCCATTAAGCAACATATCAAATAGTAATTAGCTCAACCAATATTGTAAAAATATTTTGAATAAATTCTCTAACAATCAAATGGGATAATTAATATTCTAACGTGTGTTTTGTACGCCTGTTCTATATTAAAGCAAATTTAACTCGAGCTACCAGGGACCGTGATAAATCACCGAGAACCAAGCGCCATAATCATTCGTTTGACTTAAATAGATCACCAGTCTCGCAAGGTAATAAATTTGAAATTGAGTAAATAATCTATACTCATCTGGGTTAACTGCTACTTGATTATAATCTTTGCTACCTTAATTCACAGCTTCTTCTCCGGGACGAACGACAATACAGACTACCTCAACGCAAGATTTTAGTAGCAGAATGCCATTTAGCAACATATCAAATAGTAATAATCTCAACAAGTATATTGTAATAAGATTACTATAAATTTATTGTGTAGTCAAATGGAATACTTAATAGTCTAACAAGTCGTTCTACAATATCTTTTTAATTAAAGCAAATTGCGGTACAGTTAATGGGGACCGCGACAGACCAACTACATCCAACTGTCAGAATCGTTGCTTCGACTTAAATCGAACCCCAGATTTGCAACTAGGTATAAATATATTACGAGGACGAGTTGCTTATTACATAGTCAATATTAAATTATAATGTTTAAGTAAATATTTAATAATCATGTAATATATTTTATAATCGTTTGTGTAGGATTTGAAAGTAATTGTTGTATTACAAATGACAACAACATGCAAATAGACGTGGTAGTGCCGGAGACTGAACCCATCGAGCATTGTCGAAATTTGATATCAGATTTTCAGGAAGTTGTTGAACAATTACATGACAATGTGCCCTCAAAAAATGGTGAGTTCATATTAAATGTTGTCGGACGAATACATACTATCTTTGTACGACAATGGATTATATTATTTTGTTAAATATGAACTAATATAAATGTATTTTTTTTTAGACTATTATTTTGATTGTGGTGATCCAGAGTATGTTTGCGAGCATTGTAATGCATTTTTTTGGTACAATGAACGGTTAAGCAATTCAAGGTCATGTGACAGGCCTAAATACTCCGCATGTTGTGTGAATGGTAAGATAAAGTTGCCATTCATGACAAAGCCTCCTCAAAAGTTGTTTGATCTATTCTTTATATCAAGTGATAAAAACAAATGTTTTTTGAAGAATATAAGGTCCTATAACAACATGTTTTGCTTCACGTCAATGGGTGGAAAAATTGATAGAACTATTAACAACGGAACATTGCCGCCTATATTCCGTATAAATGGTCAAAATTTCCATCGCATTGGAAGTTTATTGCCTTCACTTGGCACTCAACCTAAATTTGCACAATTATACATTCACGATACAGAGAATGAGATAGAAAATCGCTTCAACTCTTTCAGGTATAATATTCTGTGTTAGTAAACTCTTTTGGGCCTCTCATTGGTTAATACTTAAAATCTTATATTATATATTCTTATTTTTTTAGGGCGGAAACCAATGGTTCTACATTGCATCTTGATGTAGTTCATGACATTAAGCAAGACCTAGATGAGCACAATGTTTTGGTTAAGTCATTCCAAATGGCCAAGTCGTTTATGGAATCTAATCCTAAAAGTGAAATTAGAATGAGATTAATAGGGAAGAGGTCTAAAGATGCCAGAACGTATGCGCTACCAACTACTTCCGAGGTTGCTGCTCTCATTGTTGGAGAGTTAGACCCTTGCATGGGTGAACGTGATATTGTGGTCGAGTCTAAATTTGGAATGCTTAAACGAATAAGTGAATTAAACCCAGCGTATCTACCATTGCAATACCCAATTTTATTTCCATATGGAGAGGATGGTTTTAGGGAAGATATACATTTTGCAACACATGGTACTAAACAAAATTTTGCAAGAAAGAGTGTTTCACAAAGAGAGTACTTCGCGTTCCGTATTCACGAAAGATCAAATGAGATCTCAACTATAATGTACGCTAAAAGGTTATTCCAACGATTCTTGGTTGATGCGTATACTATGGTTGAATCTTCGAGGTTGCTATATATTAGGTCAAATCAAAAAGCTTTGAGGTGTGAGGCGTACAAAGGTCTCTCTGATGCGTTGACCCGAGGTGAAGTTCAACCTAGCTCTCAAGGTAAAAGAATAATGTTACCTTCAAGTTTCACGAGAGGAGCAAGATACATGATACAAAACTACCAAGACGCCATGGCAATTTGCAGATTTATAGGTTATCCAAATCTGTTTATTACTTTTACATGTAATCCTAAATGGCCGGAGATTCAACGCTTTTTGGAGAAAAGAAATTTGAAAGCTGAAGATCGTCCGGACATTGTTTGCCGAGTTTTCAAGATGAAGCTAGACTGCTTAATAAAAGAAATAAAAAATGGGAAACTGTTTGGTCCGGTAAGGGCAGGTGCGCTCTGCATTTTCTTATAACTGCCTTTTTTCATAAAATACTTATTAATACGAATCTTAGAACTCACATCATTTAATTGTTTTTGCAACAGTAATATACACAATTGAGTTTCAGAAACGGGGTCTTCCACATGCTCACATATTACTGTTCCTACAAGGGACGAGCTGCTTTGCCAATCTTGCTTTTATGGACACGATCATTTCGGCCGAGATCCCAGACAAGCTGATGGACATTGAGTATTACAAAGCTGTCGAAGAATTCATGTTGCACGGCCCGTGTGGTGTTGCTAGGAATAATTCACCGTGCATGGTAAATGACAAGTGCTCGAAGCATTTTCCAAAAAGATATATTGATGCATCCCATTTTGACCAGGATGGTTACCCGTTGTACCGAAGAATGGATGATAAGAGGACAATAAAAATATGGAATAGAGTTGGACAATAGGTATGTTGTACCACATAATCGATACTTGCTCTTGAAATACAAAGCCCACATTAATGTAGAGTGGTGTAACCAATTTAGGTCAATCAAGTACCTATTCAAGTATGTCAACAAGGGTAACGACCGTGTAACGGCTGAGTTTTATAAGACTACGATGGATGAAGCTGGTAATGAGATGGTGGATGAAATAAACATGTACTATGATTGCAGGTACATCTCTGCATGCGAGGCAGCTTGGAGGTTGTTTAGTTTTGAAGTCCAGTACAGAACTCCACCGGTTGAGCGACTAAGCTTTCACTTGCCTGACTGCCAATCAGTTGTGTTCCAAGACGATGATACGATTGATCATGTCATGAATAGAGAGACCGTTGGGCAAAGTATGTTTAATGCATGGTTTGTAGCCAACCAGAAGTTTAAAGAAGCGAGCTTATTAACTTACATTGAGATGCCTACCAAATTTGTGTGGAAAAAGGACATCCGTGAATGGCATCCAAGAAAGAAGGGTTTCTCAATTGGTCGGATATTGTATGTACCACCAGCTTCAGGAGAAATTTATTATTTAAGGTGTCTATTGAACATAGTCAATGGTCCAAAAGGTTTCCAAGATATTATGACAGTTAATGGTGTTGAGTACTTGACCTTTAGAGATGGATGTTATGCTCATGGATTGTTAGACGATGATAAAGAATACATTGATGCTATAAATGAAGCAAGCTACTGGTCAACTGCATATTCATTAAGGAAGCTATTTGTTGTCTTACTAATATCCTCATCAATTATTAGGCCCGAAAATGTTTAGAATCAAGTGTGGCAACATTTGTCTGAAGATGCTCAACACTATCAAAGAAGAATATTAAAACAACCAGGTAATGTACATTTTTTATGATACAATAATAAATTTCTTAGGTTATATTTAAAACTTTCTGACCGTTGGCATCGTAACAGATTTGATCTTAACAGAGGAAGAGAAAAAGAACTTTGCATTGTTGGAATTGGAAAACCTATTGGGGCAACAAAATAAGTCTTTAAAAGACTATCCTCCGATGCCAATACCAAGTACAGATAATTCAAGGTTGTTTCAGAATCGGTTGGTTTTTGAAGAGTTATGTTACAATCGCGAGCAGTTGAAAGAAGATGCTGAAGTGCTGTGTGCCAAACTAACTGAGGAATAGAGTCTCATCTATGATACGGTTATACAAGACATTGTAGACGGTAAAGGTGGCTTATTTTTTGTTTATGGTTACGGTGGAACAGGAAAGACTTTCTTGTGGAGAGCGTTGTCAGCTACAATCCGATGCAAATGTCAGATCGTTTTAAATGTGGCATCAAGTGGCATAGCTTCTTTGTTGTTACCAGGTGGCCGAACTGCTCACTCAAGATTTGCAATACCTATTGCAATAAACGAAGACTTAACCTGTAACATTAAGCAAGGTAGCGACCTGGCTGAATTGTTGATAAAGACGAGTTTGATAATATGGGATGAAGCTCCTATGATGCACAAACATTGCTTTGAAGCCTTAGATCGAACTATGTGGGATTTGTTGCATTTTGTAGACCCGTGTAGTGAAATGAAGACGTTTGGTGGTAAAACAATTGTTTTGGGTGGAGATTTCCGCCAAATTCTCCCAGTAGTTCCAAAACGTACAAGGCAAGATATTGTTTCTTCAGCCATAAATTCATCATATCTATGGGATAGTTGCAAAGTTTTAAGGTTGACTAAAAACCTCAGACTAAGTTCGGTACCCAACGGTGGAAACCGGCAGGCATTACAAGAATTTGCCGATTGGATTGCTAATGTCGGTGATGGAAAACTGGGTGGGCGGAATGATGGTTTCGCAGAGGTTGAAATTCCAAAACACATGTTACTGTCATCCAGAGGGGACGATATTAAAACAATTGTGCACAGTACATTTCCTATGTTTGCAAATGGAAACGCCAACCCCGAGCATCTGCTAGCTCGTGCTATATTAGCTCCAACGCTCGACATGGTCAACGCCGTCAATGACTATATGACTGAGTTGCATAATGCCGAAAGCAGGTCGTACTATAGTTCAAACGCAGTATGCAAAGCCGATGGCGACAACGGCATACTTGGAGATGTACACACACCGGAATTTCTAAACAGCATTAGGGTTTCAGGTCTACCAAATCATACACTGACTTTGAAAATCGGTTCACCGGTAATGTTAATGAGAAATATTGACCATTCTCTTAGTTTGTGCAATGGAACTCGGTTGATAATTACAAAGCTAGCAGACCATGTTATTGAAGGCGAGATTCTGACCGGACCTAACAAAGGTACAAAAGTGATGATCCCCCGAATGTCAATGTCACCCTCCGATCCAAGATTGCCGTTCAAGTTTCAACGAAGGCAATTCCTATTAATGCTTTCATATGCAATGACCATAAACAAAAGTCAAGGACAAACGTTGAGTCATGTTGGTTTAATACTAAAGAAATCGATTTTTGTACACGGTCAGTTGTACGTAGCTGCATCTCGGGTTAACAATCCAGACGGTCTCAAAATATTGATAGTCAAAGACCCAAGTTCAACTACTACATCAACCACTAATGTTGTATATCATGAAGTTTTCAATAATTTGTAATTTTGTAAAGTTCTCTTTTCTTAGTACCATCACCTTGCAACTATTTGTAATATACCATTTTCATATTGTTTTTGTTGAATTCCCACACATATTTCATTTATATGTTATAAATTATAACCGCATTATTTCACACAATTTATAATATAACATACACACAATTAATAATTTTTAATTTACATACCGTGCAGCGCACGGGTCAAATACTAGTTTATATATATATATAGATATAGATTACCATAATAATTACACACAAGAATGAAAGAAAAATTATGAGAATAATTACCTCTAATAAAAATTAGGAAATTATATTAAAAAATAATTTATATAATAAGGTAAGTATAATTAATTTTGTGCCAATAATATTATATATTAAATATAAAAATATATATGTATATAAATTACCATATTAATTACAGCGAAAAAGGCACAAATATATACGGAATAAATCTTATTGCTATAGAATTAACATTGTTTATGGTAAAAGGCACAAACATAGTACGGAACAAATTAGGTAGAATTTTATGGTAAAAAGGCACAAATAAAATTAGTACCGAAAAAGGCACAAATATATATTGAACAAATTACTATGTTAATAATTACGAAAGAAATCTTATTGCTATAAAATTGTCACAAATATATACGGAAGAAATCTTATTATCACAAATAGTAATTTTATTGCCTAATAGAATTTGTCAATTATTAAACATTGATTATGGTAATTATTGTATGACATTTAATACTAAAATTATTAGGTTGAATTTTTATAATTAAGGTATAATATTATTAAATCAAATTTATTAAAAATAATGTGTCCACAATATAAAATAAATTATACTTGTCTTAATAATTATTTATTAATATAAATATACAATTATAAATTTGTATAAGAAAAACACAGAAACTTCTGGTTAAAAAAAAAAAATCTCTCCCATTTCTTTTTTCTCTTTCCTCAACATCACATTCCCAATCTCTCTGAAAAAAGGCAAAGTAGGATGAGAAAAGTCCTTCATCTAAACCGTCCTCACCCCTCAATTCGATTTAGCTTTTGTTTGATTGCTGTTTTGCCCAGCGAACCACATAAACCCGTAACGCTACTTGTTGAAGTAGAGCCTCTTTAAGTATCTTCAAGCTCATACCAGACGATATAAAATGCAAAACATATTGAAGTACGGGGGAATATAGTTAGAAAAAGCTAGAAAATTCATACGAAAAGAAAGTAGAGAGATAAGTCTAAGATTCTTTGATTGATGAGACAACGAAACTGCAAGGCAGCTCTAGTATTTGTTTCTCAGAATTGAAATGATGGTTTAGTACTTTGATTAACAGATCATAACATCTCTTAATTAATGTTTGTAAATGGGAGATTTCTCAGGTTCGGGTGGACGAACCATAAGGGGGCCTAAGTGGTCTTATAACAAAAACAAACCTTATCAAGATGGTCACAATAGCAAGCACTCAAAGGATCGGGAGCTTCACAATCCTTATTTGTCTTGCATGGCAAATCATTATTATTCTTTGCTTCACCACCACTCCAAATACCTGCAATCATTATATCAACTCACAATATTAGTGTTTTCACACATCTAATAAGCATATATGTTTTCTCTTATATTTTTAATGTAGACTCTTAGAATATATCATTGTGAAGTTGAAGATCTGATTTTACCAGAGAAATTAATTTAATATAGGTATATAATATACCCATAGTAAAATATTTTATGGGTGAAAGCTATAAAAGATGAATGGACTTACATGAAGCAACCACCAACAAAAGGAAGAGACTTGAAAAGAGTTTGGAAGCAATGAAGAAGATGATATTGGTCTAAAGAGATTGATAGTGATGATAATATATATATATATATATATATATATATATATATATATATATATATATATATATATATATATATTGGTTAATATTTTGACTGAATTTGTAAAAAGGATATACTTTTGGTAACAACTTAATTGGAGGAATTAATTATTATTATTATTATTATTATTATTATTATTATTATTATTATTATTATTTATTAATTAATTAATTAATTAAATTTGGATATTATATAAATGTCCTTAAGTTTTGGGGGGAAAATTTGTGAAGGAGGATTTTACTTTTATAGATATATATATATAGATATAGATATAGATATGTCAACAAGTACATTTTATTGTATTTTTGAAGAAAAAAATAAGTATTTAAGTAGAATTTTTAGTTTATATATAATTTTAGAAAAAAAAAGTTTTACTTAAATAATTATGGGAAACTAAAATATTGGGATATTTGTGTAAAATTGAGTTAATGAGTAACACAACAATTGAAAATTTTATATCAAATGTGACAAAAATAATATTTAATAAATTAAATGTGAAAAAATGACTTAATAACCTTGGAGCTAAAAATCAAAATAATTCAATATTTTTTTATCTACACAAAGAGAATGGAGGTAGTAATTGATAGTAGCGGTCATCATCGAGGGACAAGTCATTATTATTGATTCAGGGCCTTAAAGGTTTTCAAAAATATTTTAAAGTTTTAAATTTATATAAAAGAAGAATTAAAATAGATGAAAGGTCTCTAATAATAAGGCCTTCTTTTTTTTTTTTCAAAAAGTAATATCTACTATACTAATAAGAGCCCAAGAGAGTTAGGCCTATAATGGGTAGAAAAAATGGCGGTCACAGATTTTAATCAAATGAATGACTCAGATTGATTAAAAGATTGATCAGATTTAAATTTTACACTAAAATTTTCTAAAATACCCACACACCGTTACTAATTCCGTTAAAATTTTAAGAATTGCCGTTAGTTCACCGTTAACTTACTCATTGATTTCAATAAAAAAAGGTCTTAGGTTCGAACCTCATCCCAATCAAAGTTGGCATAATTAGTACTCTATTTTACTCTTATTAAATTATATAAATAATAATTTAGTAGTTACAACAAAAAATAATAAATATGCATTTCTTTAATTTAGAATTATGTGTCCACAATGTCTTTATTCGAAAAAAAAAAAAATTATTCATTATCAATAAATTAAATAAGAAAAATAATTTTATTAGTTATATTGTCTTTATTTTTCTTCAATAGAAAAATTCTTTATATTCAAATTTATTAATTGATTATATTCGCTACATTATCCTTACAATGTCTTTATTCAGTGAAAAAAAATTATTAATTATCAAGAAATTAATTAAAAGAAATATTTTCATTAGTTATATTGTCTTTATTTTTCTCAAATGTAAAAATTTTTACATTCAAATTCATCAATTGATTATATTTACTACATTATCTATTATCTTTTTTGTGCACTATTTTTCTAATTAAATATCACAGTTATAATACAAAATAATGCTATATATTTATTTACCAAGTATTCTATTAATACCATGAAAAAATTAAAAAAAATATAATTAATAAAGCCAACCATATTAACTACTTGAGAGATTTTGTGACAAAGAGAGTATTCAAATCATACAACAAATTGAAGTGAGAACTACCTCGCTATGTCCTTGTTTGACAATCAGCAGTTAGCGGTTAGCTTAGCGGATTTGACCAGCGAATTTATTTAATTATTAACATTGGGTAGAAAAAATGACCGCCAAATTATTAAATCAAATGAATGGTTCATATTGTTCAGGTTTTAATTTTTTTCTTTTAAGATTTTATAATTTATCCTTAATTATATGATTATCCATTTAACTTTTCCGTTAATCCACCGTTAGTCTAATTCTAATATTAAAGTCTAATATAGAATTATAATTACACCATTAATCTAATTCTAATATTAAAGTCTTAATAGAACTTAACCACAAATCCTAATGTCGGAATCTCCTCAAACAATATTAGTATATATTTAATATTTTATGCCCTAATTTTTATTTGTTCTCCCTTATGTCCCGTATTTGATTTCAACCATACCTATACAATTATTTTATTGACAATTATAATCAATCTTGACTATATTATCTTGCATTTGTAAACTTGGAATTACCTATTTAACCCGCACGGGCGTAGCTCAATGGTTTAGTGGGTAGTATTTGGGAGAAGAGACCAAGGTTTGAACCTCGGCGGCGGCAGTGCGAGAATTATGTCCAAAGTGGGCAGATTCCTTGTGCGTATCAGCATTTGGCCCTGTCTGCTGAACCATTGAGTCACCTTGATTTACAATTCCCACAATGCTCTGTCGGGTCAGAGTGTGGGGGCCCTTGGGGTTAGGGCCTCAACCTTTGGGAGAAGAATTACCTATTTAAATACGCAAATTCAACCTTCAATTATCTATGCATGAACAATTTCAATATAATCCTACCTTAATATACTTTAAATACTTATTTAAAAAAAAAACATTGGGCATTATCCCAATCGCGCAATGCGCGTAAAAAACTAGTTACTTTATAAATGTGATATATATAGTCAATAGTTAATATATATTTTGTTCATTGAATTTGACCAAAATAATTGTTGCATTTACCACACAATTTAACATCTTTTTTATTAAACAAAAAATTAATACAATTGTAAAATATTGTTTGTAACATAATTTTAGGAACATTAATTCTTTTTTATTATATACATATATATATTTTTTAATGAAATGTTATTTTTAATTTTCTATTATGACTTTATGCTTTGTGAAGCAAACTTTCCGTGAGAGTAACACAAAAGAACTAGTACAAAATCATCATCATTATTCTGTGAATCATATTATATATTAAGGGTGTATTTAGTTGATGGGTTTTGCTCATAGGAATGAGTATGAAAGTGATTGTTGTTGTTTGATTGATAGGTTTTTAGAACACTACTATAGGTTTCTAATACCTCATCAATCGAAAAACTCATATCCAAATAAAATAAGGGTTTCATTCCCCTATTCATTCTCAAGCACTACTATTAGTAATCATTCTCATTTCATCCTACTACCGAACATGTTAAATATTTTCACCAAAATCTATTACCATTACCAAATATTTGATACTCATTCCGATTTCGATTCCCATGTACG